AAATAAAGGCATTTTAAACCATTCCCACACTTTCTAATATTCTAATCAATGTTTCTAAATTCTAAAGGCTCTAAAAGAGCACAGCATGTCATGATCTCTGCTCTCTGCTAATGCTCTCGGCCACGCCCACTTCTCCATGCAGAGCGGAGATATGACACACTGCAGGAGGAAGCTTCTCCTGCAAGCTGAGGGCTGCACACAGGTGCAGCAGGTGCTAAATAATTTAACATAATTAATTTAAAATATAAATTCCATGCCGATAGTGCAGCTCATCCATCAATCGGCCAATTGTGTGTCATGTCTAATTTTATTTTGAAAAACCACGATAAAGCGAGTCCACGAACTGCGAAGTAGCGAGGGCGGCTGTGGCTGAGTGGTTAGAGCAGTCGTCCTCCAATGCAAGAGTTGGGGGTTATAATCCACCAACAGTCACATGCTGAAGTGTCCCTGGGCAAGACACTGAACCCCTCGTTGCCTCTGATGTGTGTCCCATCAGTGTATGAATGTGAATAAAGTTCTGATTTGTCTCTTTAGAATGATTTGTTCAATTAGCTTTGTAGAGATCTAGTAGAGTGCTGTATGCGTGGATAAATGAGGCACAGATTGTAGTGTAAAGTGCTTTGAGTATCTTGATAAGATAGAAAGACGCTATACAAGTACAGTTCATTTACTACTGTTTTTAAATAAATCCAGGGTTTAATGGTATTTATCTAATGTTGGGTTTACTTAATTTTACTAGCTGTTAATGACCAAATATTTTTTGTCAATGCTTTTAGAATATTTTATTTTGAATCTGTTCGTTTGTGTAAAATCTTAGACGTCAGAGTATTTTATTTTTATTTATTTTTTTACAATTTTATAATTGTATGCAAAAGGTACCACCCCCACCCAGGATTTCTACACAAGGATTTTTCCCATCACAAAAATGTTACCAAGTTCACATTCATCACTGATTGCAAACTGCATATTTTGTAAGTCCTTATATTTTGTCATAAAGATGAAAAATCATTGATGGCTACCAGAACTAGCAACAACTTTTAGAGCGGCACAAAGCCTGGTTTGTTTAGATTTCTTTTACATTTTCAAGTTTATTTTTGTTTCAAGGGTTGATTGATATTGCAGTTTGAAGCGGGGTTTGTGAATGAACGTGTAACAAATGTATGCGTTACTGATAGTACATTCATTACACACGTTTACTTTATGTTATTACAGAAAATCAATGGTATCATTCCTGTTCTGCATCTTCCTTGGAACACAGAGTCTCTTCAGCTAATGCTTCCAATCTCTAGTTGTTTCCATGACGGTGATATCAGGATAAATATTTTGAACAAGGTCATGTGTTTAGTAAGTGCTGTCAGCCTCTTGAAGTTGCTATGAAACTTGACCTTTACTGTGTGAGTCATAAAAGTGAATATATCTTTCAATATGGTCTCATTTGTTTGTGGAACAAAGCACAGATAACCCCTTGGTAAATTAGAAAAGGACATAAAGCCTTTTATATTACACAAGGTTGTTAAAAATGTATCAGTTTAATTACAGAATGTCAGTTTTTATGTAAAAAAAAAAAAAAAATATATATATATATATATATATATTGTGTGTAGCTATTAAGTACACTCAAGTGTAATTTTTTTCCATATGAAATTCTTTCGACCATGACATGTTTATGTGAAGTGAAAAGAAACCATATGCAAATCTGAAATGCCTAGTTTTTTACTTTGAGGGATTTAGGAGGCAGAAATGTTACATTTAAAACTTAATACAAATTTTAAATCCCGATTTGACAAATAAACTAAAAAGATATTCATAACCAACCAAATTTTGTTTTCATACTTCACAATTCATCAAGGGGAGAAACTTTTGTGTTCAATAATGTTTTGAGTATAAAACTGGAGCATTAGAAAACGACACTGTTCATTCTTATTGAAAGTCCAAATTAAATAATTTAGTTTGGGGATAAAAATAATCCAGTTTTCTCCTCTTTTCTCTTGTTTCTTGTCATTGTCTCCAGGGTCTAGATGAGGAGGCACTAGTTGATCATGGAAAGTCCAGCTTCTCTACTCACACAAACTACGAGAACGATGATTTGGAAAGTGAGTAAAGTCGTCCAACCGGAAAGAGTTTTTTTATTTTGAGTGACAAATTTAAGGTAAAGTTCCAACAACATAATAATCATAACTAAAGCAATCACCTGCAAAAACATAGAAAACTCTAGACGTATGCTTTGCTAAGTCATTAAAGCATTTATTCAGCAAACACAAGTATAAAGAACTCATTAGAGATGCACGATATTGGACTTGTGGCCGATATATGATATGCCGATATGTTAAAACTTATTGGCAGATAACCGATACCAATACCGATATTTTTTCCCCTAGACCGACTTACAGAGACTACATAGCTTTCTCTGCTGTGGAATTTAAATACTACATTATTCTGCATGGTCTTTGTCAGTTTGGCCTGCTACCAAATCCAGATGCCAAAAAAGGGGGTTGAAAATGATCTAACATTTCAGCTTGGATTATGTTTAATGTCAAATTTTGTCACTGGGTTGCCATACAAAAACAGCACCTTTTATATTGGCAAGTTATTTTGATGCCGATGCCTGATATTTAATTTTAACGCCAATATCAGCCGATACCGATACCATGACAATAATATTGTGCATCCCTAGAACTGATACACCCTATATGACTGTTAAGTTCTTTTTTGCTGTCTTGTAAGGGAACATGTTCAAGGTTGTAGAAATGTCTTATAAGCTCAAATTGATCGGCTGAACTGTTAGTACACTGTAGCCTTCAGGTGTGACTAATTTTTATTATGCTACTTTACATTATTGGTATTTTTAGAGTTTTGATTGTTACAAATAGGGGAACCATTCAAGTGTGTGACATAATAGATGGGATTAAAGTGTAATGAAACAGCCCTAAAATCAATACAAAGTGCCTGAATATGGGTTCTACTGCTCTGGAGGATTTAAAACCAAATGAGCGATGTAGATGGGCTCATCAGTACTCTTTCCCTAAGTATAAGAAAACTAATGGTTCTAATTTGCTGTTGATGGCAGCTTTTAGTGTAAATGCAAAACGTGTTTCTAGACTTCTTATCAGGAAGTGCGTCTGGTCAAAATGTATTATTTAGGTTGGATCAGATTTCCAAAAAACTGCCGTGATTACAAAGTCTTTCCAAAGTGTGGGTGTTTTCATGCCAAGGACATGGTGTTTATGTATGAAGTAAATGTGCTTTTATTTTACTCTATTCATGGTTAAGTCTGTTTGAACACTCCTCAGTATGCTCCATTCAGCTGGACACTTATTTTTCTATTTCCTGCTTTATCACCTCTGTCTTTTCTCTTTCTCTTCCGTCACCCTCTCTCCATGTCTGTCTCTCGTCATTTGTTCAACTCGCATCATCTAAATCCTCCTGTGTTTTCCTTTTCAAGCTAGATCTGGGTGTCGTTCCTACAGGGCTCTTCTCAAATCAAAGACAGATGACTCATCTGTGAAAAATGAGTATTGGCAGAGAGTGTGGGTAAAAATAGACCATGTTTATCTCGGAGCACCGTTCTTTTTGTGGCAGGAACAATAATGGGGGAAGTCGACAAAATGGGGTAAACAGAAGGCTGAAGAAGCTAAATGTCGTCTTCTGGTTTTCCTAAACTAAATTTTGTAGAGGTTTTTGTTTCTTTGACAGATCTCCTAAACGTTAGTGTCTGCATTGTCTGTTCTTGGATTCTGTTTAACTTGCAGCTTAATAAGATCTTTAAAATTACCTCAGTGTTATTCATATTAATTACCATATTTTTCACCGTACACATCGCACCACCCTATAAGTTACATCAGTCCATATTTGTCTAATAAAGTGGAAAAATCCATAAATACGTCGCTTTGGCCTAAAAGTCGCAGGGCATGTAAATTATGCAAAAAAAAAAAATGCAACTTATAGCGAAAAGTACGATAAGTGGTTTTATTATTGTTGCCCTTTTAAGAAGAAACACTCTTCATGTCCGGTTTATAACTATAATTAATCCAATGACACAGATTGAAAATACTGAGCAAATGAGATTAATTGACCAACAAACAAATAAATGTACTAAAAATGATTTTCTTTTCCAGACCACAGAGCAGTGTACATAGGCGTCCATGTCCCTTTTGGACGGGAGAGCAGACGGAGACACCGGCACCGAGGACACAGACATCACAGAAAGAAGAAGGACAGAGACTCGGAGGAAGGAAAGGACGATGGCAGAGAATCCCCCAGTTATGGTTGGGAACTTTTATTTTTAACTACACAAAGTCAACAATAATAAATTGCTCACTGATTCAGATTTTAACAGATATTATGCTATCTTTTGATTTTTTTTTAATCAAATTATCCCTCTCCCTTCTTTTATTCTATCCTTCAATGTTTTAGCTTGTGTTAAATACTTTTTTTGAGTTCTTTAGCGTGTTTATTCATACATTCTTTGCTGTCCAGTAGTGAAAAAAAACTGGACTGTTTCAAAATATTTCTACTTTAATAAAGGCTGTTTCTATTCTATTCTATTCTATTCTATTCTATTCTATTCTATTTATTAACCCACTACTGTTTAATTGTACTAAGCAGTAACATTTTGAAAAGTGCACAATTATTTGGGTAGAGCAAGAAAAACAAATTAAATTTGAAGAGAAAAGATCACGCTGAGCGACTTAAACCAAAGTAGACTAGAAGATCATTGGACCAGATTATCAGAATTAGGAACGAGGCAGGTTTGGCAGCATGGGAACTAAAAAGTGATTAAGAGAGCGTCTGAGTTAGATGGAACAGATTTTCTTTACTGAACTTGGGTCGAAAGCTTCATTCCATGTTCAAACACCGAGGTCTCACTTGGGCGGGTGCACATCTGCACATTCTTAAGACAAATATAAGACAATTGTGCAAAAATACAAGATGAATCATTCACAGAAAACATTCTGCTCAGTGGTTTTTCCTTCTAAAATAACTGAACAAAGCAGTTATGTGTTCAGTTTTAAACGTGTGGCTCGGTCGTGTCATGTCTGTTCAACAGAGCTGGTGTTTGAATGTAACACAGTACACACTGTTTACTTTATTAGTAGTAAACAGCCATCAGTGTGCTAATGATCCATTGTTATGCTGATGGTCCTTCTTGAGCATGTGATCAGCTGGTTTTGGTTGTCAGCAGCAAAACTGGTTGATCCACCCTGAGACGGTGCTATTTAAGAGACTGAGCTGAATACAGCTCCTCAGACTGAGGAAGTCTCTCGGATGAGAGACGAAACGTTTCTACATTTTTTTGTTGATTTGCTTTTTTTTTTTTTTTTGAATGTCCAGAGGACCAGATTTAACTTTTTTAGATTTTTCTACCTGGATTATTGAGCATGCATCAGGACTGTTTACTTTACAACTGGATAAAGACCAGATGGTGTCGTAATACACTGAATCAAAATTGAAAGAGGATGCACCTAATGACTGATTACCAGATATGCTATTTTGGGGGCTGATTTAAAGCTGACTGTGTTGAAGGATTCAGTCTGATAAAGTAGGAAAGTAAAATCCGATCACACAACACATGTAGAGACATAATGCAACGCCAAGCGTAAACTGATTCCTATAAATCATTTTACTTGATTGGATAAGTCTGGATGCAGGTTAACATAAAATGTGTGCATATAGCTGTCGTGCATAAACTCGTTTATATTGCAGATACATTAACTTAAAAGGGTCAATAAAAGCAAAGCTCCCCATAGAGAGTTTCTCAGTCTTCAAAAGGCTTTGTACTGACATAAATTACTGGTGCATCTCTTTGCCAAGAAATGGAGTAATTTAAATTAAATTTAACAAACAAATAAGAAAAACAGATTATTTAACGTTCAAGATATGTTTTGTTTGTTGCAACCCTCAGAGTACAATACAAAACAGTTTAGACCCTCCTCAAACAATGCACAAGTATCAAGCATAACTTGTGTTTCTGTCTCTCAGATGGGAATCAAACATTTTTTGCTAAAAGGCTTTAAAGGCCACTGTGAACGAGTGTCTGACAGATTGAAGGCTCTGACATTTAATGTGGTGTGCAACCCATCTTGTGTAAGAAGTTGCTGCACAAACACTGCTGAAAGAAACACCCAAAACAGTACTTTTAAATCTCAAAATGTGCTCAAATTATTAAAGAAACACTCTAGTTTATTACTGTTATTTACTATATCAGCTTTTTCTGTTTGGCGTCACGTGTCAGTTGCGTCTCTGGGTTGATTACACAGGTTTTTTTTGTATTTCTTCTTCTTGTGCTTCCCTTTCAACATAATCTTCCCAGCATTTGTAGGCGTCCGTTTTGTTTTACTTGCCAGCAAAACAAGTTGTCAAACAAAACCCAATTATTTAGCTGAATAATATTTTGTTTCATTGTTAAATTAAAACTTGTTCTACATCTTTCTAGAAAGCTTAAGCTGGAGAAAAGTACAGTATAAATAAATCGTACTTGTGTTTAATATCAAACAAATTGACATGTTTTATTTCACTTCATCTTCAGACACGCCATCACAGAGGGTACAGTTCATCTTGGGAACAGAGGACGATGACCTTGAGCACATCCCCCATGACCTCTTCACTGAGATGGATGAGCTGTCCTTCAGAGACGGCGATGCCATTGAATGGAGGGAGACAGCCAGGTCAGTACAACGCCGATGGGTGAACAGCTTGATGGCCACCACTCCATAGAACTCCACTGAATCTACGGGCTCTGCGATGCCTTTGGAGCATGATCTAGTTCAGTGAATATCCTGAATCGGACTTTCTCTACCTGCAGTATTAAAAGCTGAAACTATTCTTATTAGTGGCTATTTTTTCAGTGCATGTGCAAACACCTGTGGACTTCTCTTCAGCATATGGCTAAGGAAAAAAACAAAAGATTATTCAAATGCAGCTCTTTTTGCTCATCTTTTTTGTGGAATAAAGTAAAACATTTATTTTGTCTGTGTGTGTCAGATGGTTGAAATTTGAAGAGGACGTGGAAGATGGTGGTGAGAGGTGGAGTAAGCCCTACGTGGCCACATTGTCACTGCACAGCTTGTTTGAACTGCGTAGTTGCATACTGAATGGTACAGTATTGCTGGATATGAGGGCCAACAGTATAGAGGAAATTGCAGGTACATTTTTACAGAACTGACTGACATTCATTTTTTATATGCAAGGTTTATGCATTCTTGACAGTAGGTTACAAAACATACAAATTTACTTGGAAAAAACTCAATGTGATCATGTGATTTTTTTTTATTTCTGCATGTTTACATGTTTCTGTTACCACTTCTGTATGCCTCAGACATGGTTATAGACAGCATGGTGGCATCAGGCCAGCTGAAGGAGGACTTGCGCAACAAGGTGCGGGAAGCAATGCTGAAGAAACATCACCATCAGAATGAGAGAAAGCTCAGCAATCGCTTCCCTCTGGTGCGCTCCATTGCTGACATAGGCAAGAAACATTCTGACCCATTCTTGCTTGAACGAAACGGTGAGATACTACAATGCACTCACATTTCTTGCTCCTCCATCTGTTCAATCACTGGGGAACTGTTCTTTAAAGTCCACTTTTCAAATCCTCGCTCCCAGCATATGAGGTGGAAGGTAAAAGTGAGTAAATGTTGGAGAATAAAGTTTGTCCCCCTGGTGGAAGAGAAATTTGGGTGCTAAAATATGTGCTAACCTGTGTGGCTGGCTTGGCTTTTGGGTTTGAATTAATGATTGTTTTTACTCCTCAAAGGTGACATTGCGGTAATAATTCCCTACTTGTCTTTTGTGTCAGTATTGTTTTTTTTTATTTTTATCTTTTCTGAATGGGCACTTTGGTGATCGGCTTGAGGTTTTGTCATTGAATGAGATGCCACATTCTTCACTTGTTTGCCTGTAGGCCTTGTTGGGCTTACATTCTCATGTCATTAAAACACAAATTTAAGAGTTCTAAATTATACATGTCCCATTGAAAGTTGGTGGTGGCAACCTTCAATGAGTGGTGGCAGAATGCAAGGTGTATGACTAGGTGAACACACTCTGTGTGGTATTTACGAATGGCTTGTTTGCTGTTGTGAACGCGTTTGCTTACTGTGCACTGGCATCCCGTTAACTCATCCTCTCCAGCATGCAAACCTCTAGAAACTCCTTTTTCATAGTGTTTGAGTAGTTTGTTAGGACATGAAAGTATCACATTTGTTCTTGCAGACCCTCTCATATGATTCACTCAGTGTCTGTGGTGCACAGCTAAGCTTTAAGCTCATAATAATGCAAGCTTGATGCTTTCTATCTACACCTCTGAGACGCTCTTGCCGCCTATCCTTCCTCACTTTGTCTCCTTGCACCATTTGTTTATTGTACATCTATTTCATGTGTTTATCCTCTTTGCTCCACCCTTTAATACCTTTTACCCTCTTCTTACTCGCCTTCTATTTTTCCTTTTCCTCTCCTTTTTTTTTATGCCATTGTCTCCTCTGTTAGGAGAGGGCTTGTCCTCCTCTCGTCTCTCTCTCCACAAGCCAGGGTCGTCATCCTCTTCTGTCTCCAACCTCTCCCAAAGACGAGAGTCAAGAGTCTCCGTTCTGCTCAACCACCTACTGCCCTCCTCTTCCTTCAACAGTGGGCTGTCTTCTGGCCCCTCCCCCCTCAACACCCCTCACAATACTCCTTCACTGTTTCGCCGTTCCTCTCAGAGCCCATCACGAGGGCGTTGCACCGGCCTTGGCCCTCAAGACATCCCAGAGGTGGTCGTATCTCCTCCTGAGGATGATGACCCACCAAATTCTGCGGAAGAGGACACAATATCACCACAGCTCAGCTGGCGAACATCCTCTGCACCACAGAACCTTGAGCTGCAGCCCGTAGAAGGCAAATATCCGTATAGCCTGCCAGTGTGAGTCACAGCTTGAACAGAGAACACTAGCACTAGTAGCATGAAAGCCCTGCTTCCTTGTTAACCTCCAACATTGCGATCATATCATCAGCAACTTTAAGCAAGGCACACTCTTGCTGCCTATACACTGGACTATGCAAAAAGCTTTTAACCTATGCCGTCTCCTCATTAGCTCTGTCTGCTCCACTGACCTATTTTTTATAGTCTCTGGCTCTTATTGCTCCCTCAACTTACTGTGCTTTTTGCAAACAAACATCTCCTCTCCATAGTTTCCTTACACAATCCTTAGCATGTTGTTCTTACTTGGCTTTCATCCCTTTCACACTCTTTTCACTGCGGTTGCATGGCTGTCCCTCTAGTTTCCACACTGCATCCTGGATTTTGTAGTTTTTTTTACACTTGGTTTATATATTTTCACATTACCAAATGTTTCATATTAAACTTGTCAGAGGTGATGTCAGTAATTGTCATTTAGCCTTTTTTTTCTTCCATTTTGTTAGTCTTTAAAACTGTATTTTATTTGACTGTTGCACAGCACAAATAGGCTTTTTTCCCAATAGAACTGACATTATGGATGCACAATATTATCGGCATGGTATCGGTATCAGCTGATATTAGCAATAAAGTTAAATATCGGCCATTCCATCAAAATAACTCACCGATATAAAAGGCGCTGTTTATATATATATATATATATATATA